TGACCGCTTCTACAGCAGCTGAATTTATCTAGAGCGATTTGTTGCAGAGTCCTCGTGGCCAAGAACGGAGCAGACGCAGTACCGTAGGTGACTGTCTGCAGTTCGTAGGTGGAAATCGGATCGGTGGGGCTCTTCCTGAAGCGGATTGGTAGGAATCTTCGGTCGCTGGCGAAATGAAGCATTTGGCGATACATTTTCTACACGTCGGCAGCCATAGCAACGAAGCTAATGCGAAACCTCAGCACCAGTGCTAGAAGATCTTCCTGAACGACTGGACCAACCAATAACGTGTCGTTCAGTGAATATCCCGACGACGTCTTGCACGACGCTTCCAATACGACCCTGACCTTCGTTGTTGTACTGGACTCCTTGAAGTCAGCGTGGTGCGGGATGTAGCAATGAGGAATGTCATCGTCTAGCGGTTCGTCAAGCTTCTTCATGTGTCCTAATTCGAGGTACTCGTCAATGAAGCGGTGGTATGCATCCTTGGCAGCAGGATTTTCGATGCTTCGAAGACGACGATCTGCGATTTCCCGGGAGCTTCCTAGGACAACTTCGGGATTTTCAGTTCGAGGAAGACTGGCGATGTACCTCCCAGATGGATCACGAGTAGTGGTCGCTGTGTAGTGTCGCTCACAGCGATTTTCTTCCACAGATAGGACCATCGAAGATGGTTTCGATTTCCCAGAACTTCAGGAGTGCGGTTTCTAGAGGATCGTCCTTTGTCGAAAGATTGCAGATCCGAGGAATGCATTTTGACTGACTGGATGCAGTCCCAGCGACAGCCCATCCGAATGGTATTTCAGTCAACCATGGAAGATCATTTCCTTATGACATCTTCCGACCAGTATGGAGTTCCCAGAAGGCTTCACTGCCGATGACGAGGTCTATCCTTCCAAAATTTAAATACATTTGGTTCACGGGAACCCCTCACTCAAAGGACTTGAATTTTGTATGGGGAAAATCGACAGAATGTATGGAGGAACGAGTCACTTTCACATTTGCGGCTCTAGGTGGTGCTATAGTTAGTCGATTTAATTCGTGTACAAAATGTAGAACCCTTGACCTTTGGAAATATCTTGGCTGAAGACCGGATAAACACCACCTGCTTTACTTTTGGGGAGGGCCTAACGCGCTTGGTGAAGTTTTTATTTTTGCGAACAGGCATACGAATAGCATTATTTGCATGGGTATAACTTTTTTGTTTCACTATGAATTGGCTGAAATTTTCACAGTGAGTAGAAAAATATTCTAAATTATGGTCTACTGAATGTTGGAACAGATTATCCAAGTGGTTCCGGTTTTATTCCGGCTTTTCGAGAGGCTATTTAGGGGAGCAAAGGTACAAGTGGTGATTTTTGATATATTAACTGGTCATTGGCTCCGAACGTTAACCAGATGATCCACCAGAAGCTTCGTAACATCTGTTAAATTGATTACTGTGTAAATTTTATCAAATCAGGCTTTGATTTGTTCTGATACTATATGGAATGTAGTAAATGGTCAATTTTGATGTATTAGCCAGTCATTGGTTCTAAGTGGCCCACCGAAAGATTCGGAACATCCGTAATATTTATTGCTTCGTAAATTTGATCAAAGTAGTTCTTGATTTGAACATCTCTGCTGATCTGTGATCGACCCCGAGAGCCTTATTAGATTGTATACTTCGAATAGCTGCTTCTATCTCCTGCATCGCACCCTAGGCGGATTATGCTGAGATATTGATGGCTGGTTGGTTACCGAAATTGTTCGAAGTGTTCAAACCAACGCTTCAACGGCTATCTCCCCTTTGTCAGCCAGGAAGTCCAGCCCATTTACTCACTCGTCTACAAGAGCGCTTTACTTCATACTCTAAAGCCATGTTCAGTTGACGGGCTTCGTTCTTGGCTCATATGGTTCTCGCCTGCTGTCTCATGGCTTTTGCTTCTTTTCGCTACTTCCTCCATGTTACATCCATTATCCACTCTTTCCTCTGAGTGCCGCAACTCACCCAGGCTACATTGATCTAGGTCAAAATAATTTCTACTATTTTTTCGCAATGCCTTGAACTTTCAAAAACTATAACTCGGGCAGTCAGTCCGCATCGTGCTCTCTTGCCGTTCGGATCTATTTGCTTTTTGCTGAAGGAAGTGTTACAGCTAGCTAAAGTTACAACAAATTTAAACAACACTTGTCAGCGCTCAATATACCTGTATATTGATGTTCTACCTTGTTCGACTCTTATTCCTCTTCGATCCTTGTTTGGACCCTACCCGAAGTAATCCTGCTTTGATATCCATTTGGAAAATTCCTCTTCGATGCTTCAGATTCTTATAATAATCTGCTTGGAGGTCAATTTGGGTAAACGTTTTACTGCCGCCATGGTGCCTAAGCGCAAAAGAAACGGGCAATCTCTTGATCTTCCTTCTGATGAAATTAATTTGAGCAATCAATTTGATTTGCTCACGAATGATGTGAATGATCCAGCATCCAGGAAAAATTCTAATAAACTTTCCCGGCTTACTGCTACGAAAGAAAAGTTCCCCCCTATTGTGATAACTAGTTTCGATGTCCATGCTCTTCGCACGGAACTTTTGAACTTCGTGAAATTCAAGTTTTCACTGCAAGTTGGCCGTCGGTGTGAATGTCGTGTATTGGCTGAAACCTTGGACGGATTCAAACGTCTTCTCAGGTGTATTATTGAGAAGCAGCACCATTTGTTTTACTTACGACACCAAAACTGAACGTGTGTTCATGGTTGTCTTGAAAGTTCTGCTTAGTGGTGTATTCCTGGATCAGATCAAAGATGAACTGGCAAAATTACTTGCATTTGTAAAATTAAATCCCGCCCTGGCGATTCCCGATTTCTAATTATTTTTATTTAGTTCACTTCAAGTCTAGTGAGCTAAACAACCTTAAGGCCTTAGAAAAATCTAGCCTTATGCTCCATGTCCGAGTGAAGTGAGAACACTTCAGAAAGACTGGAGGAAATTTCCAAAACCTCACCCAGTGCCGTAAGTGCCACGGATGGGATCAAGGAAAAAAATTGCTACATGCCAACTGAATGCATACTTTATGGTGATTCCTCTCACGCAAAGGACGACTGTCCTACGAAGGAAGATTCGAAGAAATGTATATGTTCAAATTGTGGTGAAAACCATGAATGCAATTTTTGGGAATGTAAGACTCGCAAAGCGATCCTAAAATCTCGTTCCAAGCGACAGGTAAGAATCGCTCCACGTTCTCGACAGGTACAAATTATTCTGCTGTTTACAACGGTCAACGAGGAACAAATTCTACATTAGTACCCGTAAGTACAAATATAACCCCAGCTTCAAATTCTTCACCTATACCTGCTCCCCTCGCTGCTAACAATGTTCAGCGAGTAAATGGTAAAATGCTATCCTATGCTGCTATTTCAGCTGGTACAAATTAAAATACTGGCCAACATAATTCTAACCGAAATTTAGACATTTTTGACTAAGGAAGCATTACTGCTCCTAAACTCCTCATTAATTGAAATTATTACTGATATGCTAATTCTTCTATTGATTTGGTCTTAACTGATGCATGCCAACTTTGTAGCCAATTGGTTACCCATGCTGACTTCGGTTCTGATCACCTTCCAGTAACGTTTGAAATATCCCAAGAAATAATTTCTAATTCCAACAGTTCTACTTTCAATTACCATAGAGCTGATTGGGAGCAATATCGAACATTTATGGAATATAACTTCGATCCAAACATTCCTTTGCAAATCAAAAAATAAATTAATTATCCTATTGAACCTGACTACTTCAATAGTTTAAGCAAGAGCAGCCTCAGTACCAAATTGCGAGGTAAATTCGATTCAATTATAATAGACGATGATCTTCAGCTTTTGATCCGTCTGAAAAATGTCCATAGGAGGCAATATCGAAGAACACGCGATCCTGCCATAAAAGTTAACTGACAGGATTTGTAAAAATAAATTAAAAAGCGATTCTCTGTCCTGGGGAACATAACTTTTGAACTCAGCTCACAAAAAATTTGTAAAACCTCAAAAGCCTTTTCCAGCGTTTAAAGAAGATGGTAAAATTTTGATCACAAATTCGAAAAAGCTAAGAAACTTGTTAAGCAATTCGAGAGCTACCATAATTTCTGTTTGGGTTTTACTAGTCTTATTTAGAATCAGATTTCTCGGAATTATCTGAATATTTTGTCTCGGGATTTTTTTTTTAATTAAAATCTATTACTAATTAAAAATGGAAATATGAAACCTCCAGGTGATGATGGAATTTTCTATATCCTCATCAAAAACTACCAGAGAGTACCTTGTATTTTTTGGTAAAACTATTTAACAGATGTTTCCATTTGGCATACTTTTCTGATAAATGGTAAAATGCAAAAGTTGTTCCAATTTTGAAGCCGGATAAAAAATCCAGTTGAAGCTTCAAGCTACCGTCCAATAGGTTTGCTTTCTTCAATAACTAAAATTTTTGAAAAGATGATTTTTAATAGAATGATGCTTCACATCCAGACCAACGTAATTGTTGTAGTTTGGATTTCGCCATAGGCATTCAACTCTTAAGAGTTACCAATTTAATTCGTTCAAACAAATCTGAAGGCTACTCAACTGGAGTTGCTCTTCTAGACATAGAAAAAGCATTCAACAGTGTTTGGTATCAAATCAAAAATTCTACTCAAAATAAACTTTCAATCTCATAGATCGTAAATATATTGTTATGGGGTATTGAAGGTTTCACATACCCCGAGCAATTGCTCGAATTGTTTTTGGTTTCTATTTAAATGTTTTGATCCGTCTCTTCTTCTGGCCCACATGAACAATTATAGATAAATAGCGCTATTTGTTACGAGTCCGTTGATCTATGCCATTTTCAAAGAAATGCGTGATACCTACCATCAATTACGTTCTCATACCACGCCACCACCCACCCCTCTTTTACTGCACTCATCCATTTAACAAGTTGTAATTACTTTTCCTCTGAAACGCCATTATTCCACCTCTTACGCACCCGCAGGCTTGATGGCATTTGCCGAGCGGCGGAAGTCCTCCAGTTCTATTTTCGGCGACATGCGGAAAATGTCGATTACCAATATCGAATGCCTCCGGTCGCCGATGGTGGCCACACCTGGGCCACTGATGCGCAACCGACCGTCCTCGAAAATGACCAAATATGTCGAGTGTTGGGGTGCGGACAAACCGTTTGCCAACATTACGGACTCGAAGATGGCGAAAAACATCGGGCTGGCGGTAAGTGTGATGATGAAATAAAGCAATAGGCAGTAGCAGTGCAAAAAAAAAGACAATCATTAACGTGTCGTAATGATGGCACTGAAATTGAGCGAATATTTAGAAGTGTGTTTCTAATTCCCATCAATTTGCTTTATTACAGAGCATCGCCATGATCGAGTCCAACCTGCTGCCGGAGGATGGCCACTGTAGTGAGTGCAAATGCTGGGGCCCACCGAAGGAACTGCAACCAGTGACCATGTGGTACCGGAATTCTACCCGCGAGGCCATGTACCGCACGCAACCGGACGCCAGCTTCCGGTATGATCTCATCTGTACGTTTATTTTGTTCTTATCAATTGGACTGATACAAATAGTAGTATTTAAAAGGTAAGATAGCAAAGAAATGTCTCATCACGAAGTTTTCTCACGTTCCCAGTAGAAGCGGCGAGTGATTAATGGTTTGTGATTTGTTTTCTCCTATTCATTTTTGCTCATCCCTCAGCAATGTAGTCGTTATTGGTTCGCTGAGCGCAACTACCGTAGCGTTAGGTCTATTTTTATATTTAAGCAACCATCAGATGTCGGATCTGTCATCGCCCGGTACCACCGGTCCCGGTCAGGTGATTGCCGCCAATCGGTCTCTTCGGATAGCAATATTTCTAATTTCGACAGCGCTGATAGCGGCATGTGCCATATTTAGTGTGGTAAGTAGCAAATTGTTTGATGGGATGGAGTTGAGGATACATTGTGCAATACAATTAACGTAGAACTTTGTCATTCGATACCATCTAACTTATTGCATTACACTACCCGTTAGATTTTGGCACCGTACCAAAACCGTATGGATGCTGAAAATAATGTATTTTTACTCCTTGTGGTTAAAGTTTTTAATAAAAGATTAATTATTAATAACGTGAGTGTCAGAAAAATGACTCACGGTGGTCCATAATCAACGAAATCGAAAATTAAATTTCAAAATAACCCGTTCCATTTTTTGGCAACACTAAATTTTTGCTGAAATAACCAGGCGCTCTGTAAGAAAAATTCAATTATTTCTTGATTCAGATTAGATTTCTCGAGTCATGACTTTTCACATTCTTCTTGGAAGCCTTGCTCTTGTAATGCCCCCACGTAACTCCTTTTTGTTTGATCTGTATTATGGAGACTTTTGTCTCTTTTCTTAGCTCGATTTTAATGATCCAGATTTCCTAACTAAATTCATTAATCATTAATTTAATAAGGTTCAACTGGCTATACAAACTCTAATTAGCATAGCATAACAATTGTGAAACTACCTAAAGGAATCAAATGGAACGTTCAATCTATCGAGTTAGGTAAAATTATATGAATTCATACTAGACTGATGCAAATTTTGAAATGTTTGCTCCACAGTGCTCAAACGGCTTGTGATTAGCATCCCAATATTTGAACTAATTTTGTAAGAAACTGAATTTACTCTAACGGAACCATCAACTATTTACTTTCATCTTCTCATCTATCGTATACAAATTGCCACTTTAGTCTGTTATTTGAAATTAGCATCTTGAACTATGTAAATCGTTAACTTCACGCAGAACTTGTGTTCGGAAAATCATTCTCAAATCTCATTCATTGAGCCTCCCTGCTAGATAAACTCGCGTGCGAATGCGGCAAACAAAATTCACGCTTGAGATTCTCATGCATATTCACGCACTCACACTCACAACGCCGAAAAATCATTCCAGCTTTAAACTCATAAAAACCACTCAAACGTCAATTGATATCATGCCTATGCATGTTGTGTTAGTTTTCCAACCCCTGATGCACAAACAATAGTTATAACAATGAATAACGCCAAAATATAAAGCAATGAATTTTTGAACCTGAAAACTCATCTGTGATTTTTGCGACGTTGAATTTTGCAAGGCAAAACTCATAGGCGCATAAACTCATGCATGAGATTTGAGTTTTTGAGTTTTTCCGAACACTTCTGCGGCAGAAGTAATACAAACAAATAGCTAAAGTACATAACTCTGGATGGGAGTTCAAATTACACTGGAGTCGCTTTTTACGTGGGGGATACGTGCCACGTAAAAAAACCGCGTAAATTCCGAAATCCGCGTAAAAAACCGCGTAAATTCCGAAATCCGCGTAAATTTCTTGTGTTTTTCTGCCGTTTTACAAAGAAGCTTCTTAAAACCCCGATCGAGATCGGAAAATATCTGTGTGAATATGCGCGCGTGAGCCAGCAGAGGATTAGCCGGACTTGAGTACCTACAAGTTTTTTTTGTCGAATTGTCATGATGAACTAGCCTTCGGCTAAAAACCAAGTTAATAATGCAAAACTAAATATCGACGAATATAAATCCATCTTAAACCACATTCTGATATCATTTGCAGGCATCAAAATTATACCTATTCATTATCCATTATTCAATCTATCATTGAATATTATCCCTATCCCTATCCGGAAAATTTTAAACCGGATGATAACCGAGTTAAAATTATCCGGATACCCATCAATATGACTATTTTTGGAATCGGATTGATGTCCAGAAGCCGGAAATTGATATCTGACGCCATTTTGAAATCCAAAATGGCAGCTTCCGGTTTAATAGAAAATGGGAAATACTGTCAAATACCCATCAATATGTATATTTTTGGGACCGGGGTGATGTCCAGCGGTCAAAAATTGATATCTGACGCCAGTTTTAAATTCAAGATGGCAGCTTCCGGTTTCATAGAAAGTTGGAAATACTATCAAATACCCATCAATATGGGTATTTTAGGAATTGGGGTAATGTTCAGAAACCGGAAGAAGTGGCAAATGCCCTACAATATGGGTATTTTCGGAACGAGGACGACGTTTAGATGCCAAAAATAGATGTCTGACGCCATTTCGGAATCCAATATGGAGGCCAGTAGTTCAAAATAAATGTCAAATTCTCTATAATATGGATATTTTCGGAATGGGGACGACCGGTAGATGCCAAAAATTGGAACTGATTTAAATACTGTGAAATACCCATAAATATGGGTATTTTTAGAATCGGGGTGTAGCTCTGATATCATTTTGAAATTCAGGATAGCGACTATATCTTATAATACTTTACAATTTTTTCTAAAACAGATGGCCACCATCTTGCATTCCAAAATGGCATCAATCATCGACTTTCGGCCTTCATGCGTTGCCCGCTTTCCGAAAATATCCATATTTTAGGCATTTCACAGGTTTTTATAAACCAATGGCCACCGTTTGGATTCCAATTAGGCGTCGGACATTGATTTTCAGCCTCTACACGTCGTCCCCGTTCTGAAAATAACCATATTGCAAATTATTTGGCACTTTTCTGAACCCGATGGTCACCATCTTGGATTCCACATCGGACATCAATTTTCGGCATCTACCGGTCGTCCCCATTCCGAAAATACCCATATTGTAGAGTATTTGGCACTTATTCTGAACCACTGACCGCCATATTGTATTCCGAAATGACATCAATTTCTGGCATCTAAACGTCATCCCCGTTCCGAAAATACACATATTGTAGGGTATTTGACACTGCTTCTGAAACCGGAGGCTGCCATCTTGGACTTAAAAATGGCGTCAGATATCCAATTCCGGTCTCTGGACATCATCCCAATTCCAAAAATATCTATATTGATGGAAATTTGACAGTATTTCTCACTTTTTATGAAACCGTACGCCGCCATTTTAGACAAGGCTGCAAATACTCATTTCAGCTAAAACAATGTTTTTTTTTTTTAATTATATAATAATTAGATGCCATGACCATATTTTGAATTGGTATGATACAAGAAGAGGTTGCAAAGAATGTGTTTGACATATTAAACCTGTTTATTTCACTTCATGAGAGTCACAATCAGCGATTTTTCACAAACTCACTTACTCACTCACTCACTCACTCAGCGATCAGCAAATCGCTGATTGTGACTCATAGAAAGCAAAATTTACAGGTTTTATGTTTCCAACGCATACTTTGTAACCTCTTCTTGTAAGTTACAAGTAAAACATGCCATCATACCATCTTTTGGTTTTATTATTCCGAAAAACATTATTTTAGCTGAAATGAGTCTTTGCAACCTTGGATAAAATTGATAAATAGCAGATTTTTAGCGATTGCCCCAATCTTAGATCCATATGCCAACACTAGAGCCATTTCCTCTATATATTTTTTTTTTCAAAATGTCGTATTTTACATTTTTTTTTTTTAATCAATAAATTGAAGCACGGATACGTCACTTCTGATTAAAATAACGTCTAAAACAAACATAAAGTCTTTCTAGGAAAAATATTCACAGTAAATTTGTTCACATAAACCGTTGAGAAGAACTCATTTGGTCATGTGCCAGTAGAAGCGCCGCGCCGAGTCAGAAGTATACCAGTTTCGTGAGTCATACGGGACAGACTCCCTTCGGATTGTGCAACAGTCCAGCGAGCTTCAGCCGGTTTGTGGCCGATGTTTTCCGTGACCTGAGAAGGAGTGGTCGTCTGATGATTTTATGTGGATCATTCCGCCCGAAACCGAAAAAGAGAATATCGAGATTGTGGAAGAAGTGTTGAAAGTGGCTGCCGAGAATAGAATTCAGTTTAATTGGGAGAAATCTCAATTTCTGAAAAACAAAACGAAGTGGACTATCAGGGATATGTGATTAGCGGCGCCGGTGGTGTAGTGGTAAGCGTGATTACCTCTCACCCCAGCAGGCCTGGGTTCAATACCAGTCGGCGCCGCCGGGATGTTCTGAGGCATAACATCTCTGATCACGCCTTCCTTCGGATGGGAAGTAAAGCCGTTGGTCCCCGGTTCATGAGTTGATGGGTCGATAGGTAGGGTCCAGGTGTGGGAGCTGCCTTCCTGGCACGTCGGTAGCATTGGTGCTCAGCACGGAAAACAAGATCGACGGAAAAAAAAACCAAAGGAAGGGATATGTGATTGGAGGCAGTTACCGTATATCTTCCACAAAGATCCGTGCAGTATCAATTTCACTAATTGACTTTCACTATCACTTTCTAATCTAATCTAATCTAATCTAATCTAATACAAACGCAGCCAGTACGAGAAAGCATCCTGGAAAATGATTAGGTTAGATGAGGTCTAATCATTTGTCTTGTCTAATGGATGTTTACAGCATAACTGAGATATTAAATAAACATCAATACGGCCAGGCCTACTGCGTTGTATTTGCCGCAAAGATGATTCTTGGAAATGAATGGGATCATTTCTTGAATCTACAGGGGTGGAAGGATGCGCGGACATACCGTACCAAACGCTCCGATTTACTATTTGCAGTTGTGTGTAATGTGTGAATATTTGTACAATATTGAAGAATCATAAAATAATACAATAGAAGGATCTTACCGAATTTTCTCCTATATTGATAATGATTCTTTTGCACTTAAAAGTTTCGTTGGGTGCATCCGCTCCTTGTTTATCATGAGGTTTGGAATACAGTTCCTCGTCATTGCTCGTGGTTATGTTTAGTCCGTCGCGTCCGGACCAGATCCTTAGCGATAATCTTGACCGCATCCATCTGATTTTCTTTGGCCAGCTTTTTGATGTCGGCGATGATCTTCTTTTCCTGCTGTTCCATTTTCATCTTCTCCCGATCCAAATCCCGTATCGCTTTATTCAGAGCCCACTGGTTCTTGCGCATCATCTCGTCCGAAGACATTTTCTTACCGAACAGCGCTGGCTGTTTTCCGGATCAAATAGTGATAAAACTGGTTTAATAAAGCGGAACTTCGGTGGCCTCACAAGCTAATCTTGCACAAAATTGGATTCTTGTTTGTCCGAAAACGGGAACGGACCGTGAACTAAAAATCACGGCCAACTATCCAGAACAAAATTTTCTCAAATATACACCGTGAACTATGGTTCACGGCTGTGGTTCACGAATATGGGAACTCTTTTTTTCCCGTGTAATCGGAATACCGGTCATAAATGCACTTGGAAAAAACCTTCTTTCGACCATAAAAGAAAAACTATTCTTCAAAAAACTTATCGATTTTTAAAACTGGCAAATCATCTTCAGATACAATTTGGAAAACCGCGACGAAAACATAATATACGAGCAATTTGACAGCAGATTTTTTTCGCGTCCGTTTTGAAGCAGAGCACACTTCGATCTCCAGGATAATTGTACAATAGTTAAGTGCATAAAGTTCAATATTTTGCCTGTCAAATTCTGCTTTCCGAGTGTTAAGCTTGTTTTTATGAGCCAAAGGGAAATCGGGAAAAATGGACCACTTATTGACGTCTGATTAAAGTAAAACTAGCTCCATTCAACTCCCCAGCTCTTTCTACAAGGATAAAGTTCACGTTGTCTCAATCTAAGCGCACCAAGTTCAGTTTCTGGATGATAATTATATTTTTCTTCCAAAATTAGGGGTAAATCGGGAAAAAACAAACAACTTCCCGAAGTCAACCCTAAACGGGACCATCACCAATCGATTTTCCGATTTTTTGCATATAAGATGGGATATTTTGCAGGACTCCTACCGTGCACCGTCTAATTAAGTGGAATTTTGGGCTGTTTTTTCCTCAATGTGCGCTGTGTGATAATTCGGTCAAGTGAATTAATACACTTAATTGGCAATCCTTTCAGCAAATAAAGAAAAATCGTTAATCCATATTTTTCCTTACATTTATGCAAATACATTGTCATTATTCCAGTCACTAAAAATGGTCTACGTAGTTTATAAAGGGTGATACGGTCAAAATTTGGTCAATATCAACTTGACGTATTTCTTTCAATTTTGCATTTAAAAAACCTGAACACCCCTCATTTTGAAGGTGTGTGTGTGTAGAATGTTGCTCCTATTTTGATTTTGGAGTTCACTCTTCAGTTGTCAAAATGCCGTCCAAGCAAGAAGAGCAGCGTATCAAAATTTTGCTCGCGCATCGCGAAAATCCGAGCTACTCGCACGCAAAGTTGGCAAAATCGCTAAAAGTTGCCAAATCAACCGTTACAAATGTAATTAAAGTGTTTGAGGAACGTTTGTCGACAGCCAGGAAGTCTGGATCGGGGGGAAATCGAAAACCGGAAGCCGCTGAGACGACAAAAAGAGTTGCCGGTAGTTTCAAGCGAAACCCTAACCTCTCTCTCCGAGATGCCGCAAATAAGCTGGGTGTATCGTCTACAACCGTGCATCGAGCCAAAAAACGAGCCGGACTATCGACTTACAAGAAGGTAGTGACTCCAAATCGCGATGATAAACAAAATACGACGGCCAAAGCGCGATCCCGGAGGCTGTACACGACGATGCTGACGAAGTTTGACTGCGTGGTAATGGACGACGAAACCTACGTCAAAGCCGACTACAAGCAGCTTCCGGGACAGGAGTTTTATACGGCAAAAGGAAGGGGAAAGGTAGCAGATGTTTTCAAGCACATGAAACTGTCAAAGTTCGCAAAGAAATATCTGGTTTGGCAAGCCATCTGTACCTGTGGCTTGAAAAGCAGCATTTTCATAGCTTTCGGGACTGTCAACCAAGAAATTTACGTGAAAGAGTGTTTGAATAAACGTCTGCTGCCTTTCCTGAAGAAACACGGTTGTTCCGTACTGTTTTGGCCGGATTTGGCATCTTGCCATTACGGTAAAAAGGCCATGGAGTGGTACGCCGCCAACAACGTGCAGGTGGTTCCCAAGGACAAGAACCCTCCCAACACGCCAGAGCTCCGCCCAATTGAGAAATACTGGGCTATTGTCAAGCGGAACCTAAAGAAGACCAAAAAACTGCTAAGGGCGAGCAGCAGTTCAAGGCAAACTGGCTTTCTGCGGCGAAGAAGGTGGACAAGGTGGCTGTACAAAATCTGATGGCAGGGGTCAAGCGTAAGGCCCGGCAATTCGGATTTGGAAAAGCGGAAGCCTAACTGAATATTTTTCCTGAATTTTATACTAATTGAACTTGAAAAAGAAATTTAATTTGATTTTTTAAATAAACGATTTCACCGATTTACACGCGTTTTCCCTTGACCAAATTTTGACCGTATCACCCTTTAGACAGCCCCTATCGTTCGTATGCCTAACGTGTACCCATTTTATCAAATCTAAGAAATTTGTCCAAAAATTGAAAACTTTTGGAAGGAAATGAATTCTATATCATGTTTCAGTACCTTTATCAAATTTATTTGTCCCTTCGAGATATATTTAGAAAAGATATGTAAGTCTTATAATCATGATTGATTTTTGATCGAAGTCTCGAGATTTTTTCTCTTGCCGGCAATTTCTTCAATCACGAATTAATTTTCTTTTCATTTCAATGCGTCTCATGCCAATTCTTCAATATTAATTTGCAAAAAGATGCACTTAGAAATCCTAAAACTGAAAAAAATAGCACATATGTTGCACAATGTATCCTCCAACTCCAATTGCACCGACTTCGACCTATATCCTAACTCAATCGGAAAACATTCCAGATAAACTTCGACGATCTAGTGATAGCAAACGTTCTGTTGGTGAACAATGGTACCGAGACGGTCACGTACGACGTGCAGTTCGCGCCGTTGGCTCCGGTCTATTTATACATGTGTGCCATCAGTCTGGCAGCCGTATCGGCCTTCCTCCAGTCAGGTTTCATCGTCAAACTGCTGCTGATGCTATTCTTCATCGGTGTTCAGTGCTCGCTGCTCTGGCAGAGTTCACTCTTCGAAACCTACCAGATACTCTACAATTCGTAAGTGTAGCACAGTGGGAATGCAGTCAAGTTTCAAATCATCCATCTACCCCATTTTAATCATAACCTCAACAGGCTATTTTAATTAGCGCTTTTAAAGCACACTAAATAGCACCGCAAACCCGACATCAAACGATGCATGAACTAAAGAAGCTGACTGCAGTGTGCCTTTCTTAGGGTTTAATTAATTTCCTTTATCTTTTATCTGTTGCATCCCATTTCACTGGTAGATGGCCTCTAGCATTCCAGGGTGCCCTATTTCTGCTGCTGATAGCGTCCGTCCTGCACACTTTGGACCGCCAGGGAGAGTACGTCTCACGAACCGATTTTCTCTGGAAAGCCAAACTCAAAGTCGAACAGGAAGAAGTGGAAACGATGCGCGGAATCAATAAGGTGAATACCGTGGAGCACTTTTCCATCTAATTTATATAGAGGGAGAGCTTGGTAAAATTGTTTCACCCTTTTGACATTTACACAACCCACTACTGTGGTAACTTTAAATTAATCGTAACTTTCCCATTTACCTTCTACCCCCGACAAACTTGCAAACGGTCGCAATTCTAACTAACCAACCAACGAACCAACCACTATCACTGGTAGATCCTGCTGGAAAACATCCTTCCCGCCCACGTCGCACAGCACTTCCTGAAGAAGGAACGTGCCGTGCAGGAGCTGTACCACGAGAGCTACTCCTCGGTGGCGGTGATGTTTGCCTCGATACCCAACTACAAGGAGTTCTACGACGAAACCGACGTCAACAAGCAGGGACTGGAGTGCTTGCGGTTGCTAAACGAGATTATCTGCGACTTTGATAAGCTTCTGCTAAAGCCCAAGTTTAGCGGGATCGAAAAGATCAAAACCATCGGTAGCACGTACATGATTGCGTCCGGGCTGCGTCCCGGCAAGGAGGAAGGTGCAGCGGTAAGTTTGTTCTCATCATATCAATAGTTACTTACAAGCGTAGTTTCATTCTCGGGCAAGTGCGGCACGAAAGTTTAATGTGTTTCTTTCCGTGATCGGAAGCACGAAAAAATGTGCAGGTATAGAGTCCCGAGCAAAGTCCAGCATGAAGATGACTGCAAATCGTAATCAAATTTTGATATCAACATCAAACTGAAATCATAATTTGTCTTCAGTCTACGCGATTGACAAATTTGATAACAAATTTTGATTTCACTTTGCTGTGCATTTGCTCTTCAGAAATATGCAGTTTTTATTGCCTTTGCAGAACATCTAATTGAATACTCGTTTTGTTATCAACAGGAAAAATGAACATCAAATTGAATTTTCAGTTTGCTCTCACTGATAGCAGAATTAGTTTTCAATGTGATATCACAGGAAGATTTTTTTGCTCTCAATGTTGACTAAAATGACAGCAACCTGAGTAATTATTATCAGCGACATCACAACATCAAATTTAGTTTTCAATTTGATCGCAGACTTTGCTCGGGGTTCAACCCTACCTCTTCATATGGAGCCCATTTCCGGAATAAGTATGTGTTAAAAACTATGAAAACGAAGTAATTGAGTCGTTTTTTTTTTGTGTAAGCTACTTTGCTTACTCTTACAAGTTAAATTACGGTTGGTGTAAATATATTTTCCCTAGATCGTGAGTCGGCTGAATGAAATCCCCCATTCTCATAATTATATATTTATTCAATTTCCTATTAGTACAGGTGGTATCTAAATTTAAAGATGTGAGCTAGTTTTCCTTTTTTGTTAATGACCCATTGGATCAATCGTGTATTTTTCCAACTCTCGAATAGATATTCTCCCTAGCGACACGTCGGACAACAATTTGTTCCATCTTCCATTTTTTTTTTCACCCACGCTACATAACCCGCTATAGGGTAAAGCCACTATAGGAACACAATGCTCTAACGTACCTCCACTATTGGTGCGTTTACCCTTCTTAACCTTGCCAAAGGGAGCATCCACTGCCAAGCAAGGCTAAATCTTGAAATAATTTGAATGATTGAGTGGTCAACGTAAAGGATTACAAAAAGGGCACACACTCTCAGTTCCCACATAAAAGCATCCATGCTTGTCCCCCAGAAGCTCTTCGGATAAGATTGAACCTATTTTCTGACTAAATGCCATAATGGGTGGTATAAATAATAAAAAAGCAACCGTTCGTACAGTTTAAAAGCAAAAGAAACAACCCTTTCCGTCGGTAGAACCGGTATCCATTAAAGTCATAAATATCCTACCTTGCAGCGAAATATTTTCCACAATATGTTTTATCCATTCTGGTCGCCAAAGTACGGACACCGCCAGCTCAACATCCACACACAGAATCTCTCTATCACATCGATACCTCTTTATACGTACGGGAAATCCATTCAACTCACATCTTACAAAATAATAGAAATTTATCATCAAGAGCTGTTTTTCGGCTATAATACCTTTTCCGTTTTTCTTTCTGACGTTCTACTTTCATGTTCATCCGGGCAGAAAAATAATGAGCTGGTACGTATTCTCGATTGAACGGTAGGGCAACGACCGACGACGTAGATTCGTCGACTTTTCTGCTGTGCGACGACAAAGTGACGTATACGCCAATATGGTTAATTTTAATTTTATTTTTTTCATTTGCAACACAGCAAAAAATAAGTTTTAATATTACATCCAAGAGGATGCCCTTCAATCATGTCGAAAATCTCATGTAATTTTTATGGCCAGAAAAATAAACAAATGCAGTAAAAGCAACGTTATGTCAGTTCATGCACTGTATTATTGATAATTTTGTCCTTTTTGGTAAGTAATATTACAAAATATTTTTGACACGATTGAAGTGCATCCACTTTGATGTGATATCAAAATTAATTTTTTGCTGTGAAACAGATCTTATTCATACCGAAAAACAACACGAAATAAAACAATTATTCGTCGTAGAGCATTTCTACGTCAACTGACGAATTGATCAAATGTTACCCTCTCCGATTTCCATGAAACTTTGTATACAAGTTGTTTGCAACAACTTTTAGCGCAAAACAACGGACACGAATTGGATCATGGAATGTATTGACGTTAGCCCAGCAGGGTAAACTGGCACAACTCGAAAACGAGGCGCGACGCATGAAGCTAGAAATCCTGGGACTGAGTGAAGTTCGTTGGCCAAACTTTGGAGAACACAAACTGCCGTCGGGACAGGTACTACTATACTCTGGTATTCGAGGTGAAAACGCTCCCCGCCATCGTGGAGTTGGTCTCCTACTTAGCGTCCTGGCAAGTGCTGCGCTCATCAAGTGGGAGCCTGTTAATGAGAGGATAATCGTTCCCAGATTTAGAACACGGGTTCGTAACCTTACCATAATCCAATGTTATGCGCCAACCGATGCTGCCGAGCTACAGGACAAGGAGAATTTTTACAGTCAACTGAATGCCGTCGTGGATAAGGTTCCAAAGGGTGACATCAAGATCTACACTGGCGACTTCAATGCGAAGATCGGCTCCGACAACACCGACTATGAGCGTGTCATGGGACGCCATGGTCTCGGCGAAATGAGCGAGAACGGTGAGCTGTTTGTAGAATTTTGTGGCAATAACGGCATGGTGATCGGGGGCTCGCTCTTCCCCCATCGGCCAGTGCACAAAGTCACGTGGGTTTACCGTGATGGACATACCGAAAATCAGATCGACCACATCTGCATCAGCCGAAAATGGAGACGGAGCCTTCTTGATGTCCGGAATAAACGCGGCGCCGACATCACGTCTGACCATCGGCGAAATCCGCCTACACATGGCGCGGATCCAGCGACTGGAGGAGAGACTCGGACGGCGGTTCAACACACGCCGTCTTGAAGATCCAGCGGTAAAAAGGTCTTTTGTTGAAGAACTTAAGACTCGAGCTGCGTACGTTCCAGAAGGTGGCAGCGTAGAAGAACAACGGCCATCAAGAATGCTTTTATAGAAACAAGCGAGACTAACTTGGGTGAGCTGCGCACCCAGAGGAAAGAGTGGATCACAGATGAAACCTGGCGGAAGATTGAGGAGCGTAGAGAAGCAAAAGCCGCGATAGAGCGGGCGAGAACCAGAGGAGCCAAGAACGAAGCCCGTCAACGGTACTCGGCTCTAGAGAAGGAAGTCAAGCGCTCTTGCAGACGGGACAAGCGAGCGTGGGTGAACTCCCTGACCGACGAAGGGGAGAAAGCCGCAAACACTGGCGATATACGCCTCCTCTACGATATCTTACGACGCCTGAGTGGAGCAAGGATGAACCCGAGGATGCCAGTGAAGGACACGACTGGACAATTGCTTACCGACCCCACTGACCAGCTGAAACGCTGGTTTGAGCACTTCGAACAACTTCTTCAAGCTTCGACGGCCAACCAGCCATAAACATCTCGGCATGATCCACCTAGGGTGCGGCGCATCACTCGCGTCAATTCCAAGGCCCCATCACTGCAGGAGATCGAAGCAGCTATCCGAAGCATGAAATCCAACAAGGCTCCAGGGGTCGATCGCATATCAGCGGAGATGCTCAAAGCTGACCCCATGCTATCCACACAAATGTTGCATCAACTATTCTGTAATATCTGGGACACCGCGACTTTTCCGGCCGACTGGATGCAGGGCATCTTAGTGAAGGTCCCAAAGAAGGGGGATCTGACTATGTGCGACAATTGGAGAGGCATCATGTTATTGTTCTCAAAGTGCTGTGCAAAGTTATCCTGAATCGGATACAGGAGAAGATCGACGCGACTCTCCGACGGCAGCAGGCAGGATTCCGTGCCGGAAGATCTTGTGTGGACCATATTATCACGCTCCGCATCATCCTGGAGCAGGTCAATGAATTCCAAGAGTTCATATATTTGGTATTCATTGACTACGAAAAAGCTTTCGACCGTCTCAATCACGAGAATCTGTGGGGCGCCCTGAGACGCAAGGGAGTCCCGGATAAAATCGTCAACCTCATAGAAGCGCAGTATGAGGCTTTCACGTGCAGAGTTCTGCATAACGGAGCCTTGTCCGACCCTATCCGGGAAGGCGCTGGTGTGAGACAAGGATGTATACTATCACCGCTACTGTTGCTCATCTTAATCAACGAGATCATGGTAGGTGCAATTGACCGTGTACCGAACCTTGAGCTGCTTTGGCAGCCTATCACCATGGAGCATCTCAACGACTTCCATTTGGCTGATGATGTTGCTCTACTAGCACAACGGCGCTCTGATATGCAGGGTAAGCTCAATGACCTAGCCGAACGCTCCTCTGCGGCGGGTCTCACTATCAACGTCAACAAGACCAAATCGTTGCATATCAACACGGGCAACCCTCCCAACTTTACGATAGCGGGGCAAGCAGTGGAGAAGGTCGAAAGTTTCCAATATCTTGGCAGCCAAATAGCGTTGGACGGCAGGACCAAGAGCGACAAAGGTGTACGAATCAAAAAGGCTAGGGCTGCCATTTGCGAGTCTACGAAACGTATGGAGATCCAACCAGATAAGTCAACGCACCAAAATCCGAATTTTCAACTCGAACGTGAAATCTGTGTTGTTATACGCCAGCGAGACGTGGTGTGTATCAGCGGAGAACACTCAAAAGCTGCAAGTCTTCATCAACCGATGCCTGCGGTATATAATTCGTGCCTGGTGGCCTCACAACTGGATCTCGAATGCCGAGCTCCATCGTCGATGTCATCAGAAACCGATAGCAACAGAAATTCGAGAGCGAAAGTGGAGGTAGGTCGACCACACACTTCGACGGGGAGGAAACGCAAGCATGCGCTGGATTGGAATCCGGCAGACCCAGTGGCTCATGGCGGCGGAGCCTCAATAAGGAAATTAAGCAAGTCGATAGGAATCTGACCTGGGCCCAGGTCAAGGCAAAAGCGAGCAGCCGCCCAGGATGGAAGTCTTTCACGTTGGCCCTTTGCACCGCTGGTGGTGCACAGGACCCTTAAGTAAGTAAGTATGACGTAATAGTAGCTATGTAGTAGAAAACTATGACGTAGTGCTATAAAATAGAATTTTCACGATTGATTTTTTTTTGAGCATTTTTGTTCGATTAATGAACCTGTGCACATCATAAAAAAAATAATTGCAGGAGAGCAAAAATGGGTACTCCGATAGCTTTAGACAAAAAAGAAACGAATAGCTGCAGTTTTAGCGTACCTCATCTTGAAGAGGCGAATTAAGCAGAAAAGTCGTACAATATGGACAAAATCGTGGATTGCTCGGCGTGAAGAATGACAAAGCAGGATTTTGATCATGTCCTGGAGAAAGTTTCACCGGTTACTACCAAGCAGGATACCAATATGCGCAAGATCCGGAACATACGTTAAAGTGGTCAATTCATGAAACTTATCCTAGAACTCTACGTTTTTTTTTTTCAAAACCATTCATTGACATCTTTTTAATATGAATTCGAAGTTGTGATCGGAAAATCGACTCTTGGGTCCACGAAATGACCTTCCAGAGGTTAAAAATCATCCCTTAAAGAGGTAAACTCATGAAACTGATCCTTAGAGCTGTTCTGATCGTTCGAAATCGCTCATAGATGTCTCATCAGAATAAAATGGGAGTTGTGACCGGAAAATGGACCCTTGGGACCACGGGAAGGTCCGTTTTTTTCAAAACCACTCATTGGCATCTTATCAGATTCAATTTGGAGTTATGACCAGACATTTTACCCTGGGGACCAGTGCACAAAGGTCCCCAATCCGTATTTAGGAAGACAATCATATTTGCGCCCAAACCATCACTTTTAGGTATATGGAGTACTGTGGAAAGTTTCTTCGTATTTTTTGGCCAATCTTGTTATGTTAGTGAAATTAGAGTGGTCCATAAAATTGGTGCATTGAAAATACAAACTTTTTAAATATTTGAGATAGACCAATGCAGTGTTCTCAAAAGTTATATAATAATCAATTTTGCTTAAGATATCAAATTTTTATCTCATATGGTTCATTATTTATGATTATTTTAAACAAGCAGGTTAGGGTGGCCCCTAGAAAATCGGCTTTCTTTAAATGTCATTTTATAAGTTCATTTCTCTAAGAAACTTTGTTTTAAATACTTTCAGAACTTTTTATGACGCATATTTTTGCTGAACCACTTAGTTGGTTATCTTCTTTATTTGAAAAGTTATGGCTAGTTTTTGGTAAAAAAAAACGCTCTCACCGTTTTTTCACCAAAAATGGAAAAAAAACCAAATCAAATGAAATCCAAAATTTGAAAACCGGTTTGCTCTTTTTGGAGATATTGAAAATTCAAAAAAAAAATCGTGAATATAAGCAAGATAGCAACATTGTTGCGTCATCATAAGTTCTAAATGTGTCCAAAACAACGTTTTTACGATAAATGAACGTATGAAAAGTTATTCAACTAAATCTGTTTTTTAGGGGCCACCCTAACCTGCTTGTTTAAAAAAAAATGAACCATAAGAAATTTGGTGTATGAAACAAAAATGCTTCGAATTGATTGTTCTTTTTACAACATTGCATTGGTCTATCTCAAATAATAAAAAAGTTTCTATATTCAATTCACCAATTTAGTTCACCACCCTAATTTCACTAACATATAAAGATCGGCCGAAAAATACGAAGCAACTTTCCCCAAAACTCTATATGGCTAAAACTGACGGTTTGACGCGAAAATTTGTGTCTTCCTAAATACGTAAATACGATGGCCTTCCGAAAGATCCGAAACATCCGTAAAAGTGGTCAATTCATGAAACTGATCCAAAAACTCCGTATTATTCGAAAACTCTCATAGACGTCTTATAATTATGAATTCAGAGTTATGATAGGAAAATAAACCCTGGAGACCATGAATGCTCCTCTGGAACATCATAGACGCTCCCCTAGAAGATAATAAACGTCTCTTCAGAATGAACTCGGAGTTGTGACTGGAAAATGAACCCCAGGGTCCATTGGATGGTGCTGCGGAATATTCGGATATTATTATTATTATCCGGATAAAAATTGTGGATCGTTCAAGAAAACTAATCTCAGCACTCAATAGTTTTTTAGAACTGCTCATAGACATAATTTATCAATTTATCATCACGGATGATTTCTAGGTGGTATTGAAGAGTTTAATAACATCTAGGTGCTTTAACGGATTTTTTGAATAATATTCCTTGGAATTATTGGATTTTTTTGCTCTTGACTTCTTAGAGATCTTTCTTTGGAGTTTGGGACTATATTTAATTTTTATAGTTTTAATTCATCACATCAAAATTGAATCAATAAGCAATTTAAAAATACCGTCTTATTGAGTTATTATTCATATTAATTTATGAGTGGTTTAAAAAAAAGCGTAACTCTATGATCAGTTTCATGAATTGACCACTTTTACGAATGTTCCGGATCTATAAGTGGTCCCATTGTCCATTGTCCATTGTCTGGTCAAAACTCCGAATTTGTTGTCATACAACGTCTATTTTTGGTTTAGAAAAAAAAAACCATGGAGATATAGGATCAATTTCATTAATTGACCACTTTTACGGATGTTCCGGATCTTCCGGTGGACCATCCCATTGTCTCCAGAGTCCATATTCCGAACACAACTCCGGATTCATTTTGAAATGATGTCTATGAGTGGTTTCTAAAACAAAAACAAAAGCGCCGCGCACAGACTGCTGTCAAAAAACTATGACCAATAAACTATGAACTATTCCGGCTTGATGGAATAGTTTATAGCTTGCAACTATGATATAGAAACTATCGCTAGAGTGTACACACGACAATGAATTTGGCTCTATGTCATAGTTCTAAACTATAACTTGCAAGTTATAACTATGAGCTATCACGTCATAGTTTAGGTGTTCCTATGGGCTATTATGTAGTTTTCTATCACATAGCTCGCTATATACTAGAATTAGCCTCCGTGTGGCGGACAAGGGGGGGGAGGTGGCTGTCAAATACGAACAATCGTCGCCTACCTCGCATAACTGGTTCCAAACGTAAACAAGCCATAAGAAACCTACAGCGTTTGTTTACGTTTGGAACCAGTTTCATACAAGAATGATCAGTAGGCTGCTGATTTGACAGCACGCCCCCCCCCCCCCTGTTGTAAAAATTCTCCCGCATCCTATACGTTCGCCCAACCAATCAGGCGCTGGTTCACGTTTGACAGAAAATTGATTCATAAAAGTCCCCCTATTCCTCTTAGATTTGTACTAAAATTTCACCTAAACTTACAACAGTAACACACGTGCGTGACCCCAAACATATGATCGGTGATTTGAATCAGTATTTTAATGATTTAAAGTTCTTGTGTATAGAATAAGGGTTCGACTACCACTTTCATTTCAAAATTTGGCCGACCAAATTGTGAGAAAATCATTTATGCTTTGAAAAAGAAAGACAATTGACACTGTTCTACAACCAGAAGTTGCACAAACTGAAAACTTAACACTAGACAGACAACGGACAACACACAACACCATGGAGGGAAATTTCCTATTAGGAAAAGCTCCACCGGCTGAAGCGGGAATCGAATTCTTACTTCGTGGCACACAAAATACACCTAACCGTACGACCACGAAGCCCACAAGCTAGAATCAAACAGCGATAATAATTTACTATTTTATGACGCGTGAAAAAAGCTTCTCCTGAACAATTTTAATTTTGGCGTATACATCACATTGTTGTCACACGGCAGTGACATCCTTCCCCCAGATAGATGGACGACCGCTGATGGAGCAACTTTCGGTGAAAAATGAATCCGTTGTCAGCGGAAGCGTCCCAGGAATGTTCTTTTCGGTTCAAAAGTTTTTTGCTTGAAAGTTAATCCGGCAAGGAAGATGACATTCCCATAAACGTTCTTTCGTGGAACATGACCTGGCGGATTTCGTTTTTTACCGATCTACCACGGTCCATCTGTGTGCGGTTATATTATCTTATTCGTCACACACACGAGCTGCACTCAATCATTGTTGATATTTTCCATCCCGATCCGGCCTGCGGCCATTCAATCTATCGTACAGGACGAAAAACGAACGGAAGAGCACAACGTGGTGGTGCTGGTGGAGTTTTGCATCGCACTCATGACAGCGCTGGATCAAATCAATCGAGAATCATTCCAACGGTTCCGGCTACGGATCGGCATCAACCACGGGCCGGTGATTGCCGGCGTAATCGGTGCACAGAAGCCGCAGTACGACATCTGGAGCAATACGGTGAATGTTGCGTCCCGGATGGATTCATGCGGCGTTATGGGACGGGTGCAGGTGAGTTTTCGGTTGTAATTATTTGCTTTGGGACTGATTCAGTTAATTACTAAGTAGCCGCAACTAGGTGATCAGCACGCTATTGTACATGCAGGTGACTGGTAGTAATTATCGCTTTTGTTCTATGCCAGTTAATTAGTTTTAAACCTAATACTGTTTCTTTTCCATGATTTAAACCTTACTTACTTGATTATGGTGGCTAAAAATCTCTATAATAAAGTATGATGCTGTCGATGATCGAGTGTTAAAGCTGGTGTTGTTAACAATCCGATAGTGTTGTTAAAAAATCGAGAAAGGAGAGCGAATCCTAATCTCAGCCTATGCTCCTTTTTTGGGCCTTTCACTACAACTCAGAACAGAAGCAATATATCACTAATTTTCATTTACTAATGATATTATGCAATTCATTATACTCCATTCCCGCAGAAAAATCAGGCCGAAGTAGGTTTAAAACTGAGTTTTAGCGTTATGTCCAAAATTGAACCATAGGCCGAGAATTGGACCACTAACCCTTGATTAAAAACAATTTTTTATGCAAATATGTTTTGTTTTCCAAGCAACTCGGACACGTAGGCTGTGGAAATTTGACATCTTCAGAAGAGTTGTGTTTTTTTTAGATAAACAACTTTGTCCAAGACACCAATTATTCTAAGTCTTTAGAATTTCAGAGTAAATAGTTTGATTTTAGCGCGATGTTTGTGTCAATAAAGGTCCTTACCACAGACAAACAGACATAACACTCGCAAGTTTTTCATCGATCAAGCATTTAACGGACAATTTAAAAGTATCGTAGTTGGTAGTACCACCACCTGTAGCGGGCATAGTCAATTCCTTTGTGCCCACCACAGTGTACTCAACAGATGGCGGTAATGTTTTAGCGACGATGTTTTAAAATGAGAAATATTCAATGTGTTATGTCTGTTTGTCTGTGTCCTTACTATAATGAGAAACTTGAGAAGAGTTGTTTATTTTTTATAAATAAACAACTTTGTCAAAGACGTCAAGTCTCTAGGATGTGAGAATAAAATAAAGATTTTGACACCACCCAAGCGGATCCGTTTTTAACTATTTATTTATACCAGATATGTTTGGTGCTTCAGATAGTCGGCGGGTTCGATTCCCGGGTCGATCGAGGATATCTTTTGGGATGAAAATTTTCTCGACCTCCCTGAGCATAGAGTATTATTGGACTTGTCATACAATATACAAATTTATGCATTGGTTAGCACCGAAAGCTTTCAATTAATGACTATGGAAGTATGTCTAAAACACTAAGCTGAGAGCAGGCAAAACGCTCGTAAAAGAAGCGTAAAAAGCCTAGTAGAAGAAGAAGCGATGGTTCTCATTATAACAAGAAACTTTGTTGAAGACAGCCAGTCACGGAAACGCTTCGTTTCGGAGTAATTAATTTTGTCCTGCTAGACTGCATTTCTGGCCCATAGTGCCTTGTAATCACCCTTCAGTTCGCTTCATAGCACCAAAATATTGCCAATTCAGAGAAAAATTAGCATTAGGCGTCAGTTTTGACAACCGAAATTGACAATCGTCACTGACAGCCAATGCTGTTGAGACGGTTTAATCTTTGAAGCACTGAACTAAAAATATTCGCAGAAGGCCATGACTTTGTTGTTATCAGGTGCACCCAAGCTTAGTAGATAGAAAGAAGATTGATGAAGATTTTGAAGATTTCCTGCAAATAGTTGTAGGCGATGTGATTAGATGGATTTAGATGCAAGAGTTGAAACAAGATTTTTCGTAGATTTTCGTGATTCGCTAAAGTGAGATTTCCCGACCATCTAAAATTGAGATTAAGATGTGTCGCACCCCCAGGTTCACACGAAAAACGCTTCGTCTCGACCTTACGTTTACAAGCAATTCGACTAGCATTTGGCTCATCAAGTGCTGTCAATCAGTTTTTTGGCCCTATAATCACATATACCGCAAAAACTTCAGGTTTTAAATTCAGAGCTTGAGTTGTTTGCAAGCTTTCTCTAATTCTGATTTGATGCCGTAATGCATCATAATTTGCACATTTTTTGGGTGGACAACTATAACTTAGGTGCTTATTGCGTTCCTGTAATTAAAATACTTAAATAAGAAGACTTTCCCAACCAATCAAATTCTTAATCTTTCTCTGTCCATCACCCAAGAAAAGATTTATCGCTCCCAGTTCAAACTATAACATTGACCGCAGTTTACAGTGCTGCATAACTGTCATTTTGACAAATTGTACAACTTGCCAACGACTTGAAAATGCATTCAACCAACAGAAATAACAGCAAACAGCAGCAATGTGACAATGCCAGCACGTCTTATCTCCACCAGGGGGAGAAAGCACTTTCTAATTAACGAGTGACACAGCAATAACGTTCTTTTTATCACTTTCTGTGTGTACCAGCCGTAGGTTGTAGCTGATGCTGTTATATTGTCTGTTTCAGCAGAAAGAAAGCGCATTTCGCTCCACTCTTAAAAACTTCAAACTCATATATCATTCCAGAGTTGTACGAACCAACCACCTGTGCTGATCACTGTTGGCCTTCGTGTATTCGTCCTCGTTGCTACACTTCTTAAAGCTTATAAATTCTCGTTGTACGTCTCTTACTGATGTCATATTCCCGGTTTTCTGTTTGTGTCTGTATTTCCTACAGGTCACCGAGAACACGGCAAAAGTGCTGATGGCAGCCGGATATTCCTGCGAGTGCCGTGGACCTATTCCCGTCAAAGGGAAGGGCATCCTCACCACGTACTTTGTGAAGACACCATTCGACGAACGGATCTAAACGACATAAACACACGGGAGACAGGACGCAAAGCACAAGAGGAAAAGGAAGCCACCCACATAATCGTCAGCACCCGTCATCCGTGAATCCAGGAGCAACAGGAAACCGTGAATGTGTGAGTGAGATAGATTTAAATATCCATGTGGGGGCTGGACAGTGTGTATGAAGAGGTGACAAACTAGACAGCATGGCTGAATTCAGTTGTTGATGATGGCATGCAAACATTAGACTGTGCTCGTTTGTTTGCAGGGATAATTATTGACCTACCGATATAACACCAATTATAGGAGAAAAGGCTCTTGAAACAATCGTAATATACCCTTTCGTGACAATCTTGTTTGGATAAGTAAGTTTTGTTCACCGAAAAGTAAGACTGGATAGGAAGGAAACGTTGATCGATAACCTTTGAGGTAGGTAGGTAGTAGCGCACAGTGGGAAGACAGAGAAGTAAAATGCAAGCAACTAAATTTACTGGCTATAATGATAGGCAGACTTGTTTAGTTGAATCAAACTTAACCTTTTTTTTAAATGAAGCGCTAAATAGTTAAAATTCAACATCACAAATTAGATACATGGATTTTGGTAAAGTCATTAGTATTTCCCAAAACGATCATATATGAATTGCTATTCAAGTAAATATACACACAGCCTCACAGGGCTTGTATTCGACCAATGGTCGAATAGTGCAGCTCTATTTCTGACCAACTAACAAATATTTTGCAAAATAATGTTTGCTTAAAAAATGGGTAGACCCTGTTAACCAAAAGCAACAACAACGATTAGATATGTTTGCATAATCACTGATTAATGATTTAAAGCCACACATTTTTTTTTATAGAATTTGTTGTTCCCTCCGCTGAAACTCAAGGCAAGGCACCTCTCAGACCAACATAAGAATTACACAAGGTCGATGAGACCGACTTAAAATTGAATAATTCACAAAAACACATGTTACTCAATAGGGTGGGTCACATCCTCCTGTCCCCGCTGCTTTTTCGATGTGTATTGAGGTACCCAACAACTGTGCTAAATTTGAGCAAATTTGGTTATGATTTGAATTTGCCTGAGAACTTTTAATTTTGTGTTGACAAATGTATGAAAAATTACTCGAAACTATTCATTTGCGTGTCAAAAATTCAAAACTAGCTCAATTTTGACCAAAACGCGGACTTGGATTAGGAGTACTATGCAGAACAAATCTTTTCAACTTTCGTGCAAAAAGTTATTATTATTATACTATAGGCCTATTCTGCCGCTCATGGCATGCTTGTCCTATAGGAAAAATCAACAAGCCGAGAAAACGCGTTTAAAGTTTGCTTTGTACCATTGCTTCTTAAGTGATGTGACAACCATTTTGGCTGTTTTCCAAACTCTCTCAGAACAAAGTTGCTGTGTTCATCCAGTATCATAAAAATCTAGGTGATTAGTTACCATTTCCACTAAAAACTCAGTTTTGAAAAAAAAAAAAAAAAAAAAAAAAGCAAATGAGACCGACTTGCGATGAGCGCCAGTATTGCTCATCGCCTACCTACAGGCGTACACTCCTGATCATAAGTTTGGGGTAACCTAAAACTTTTCCTAAAATTACAACATTTTCCAAAATTCACACTGAATATTCATGACTGATTTTCTAAGAATTGAGTCGGTCAAATTTTGAAATTAAAGTGGTAGAAGAACCCTTATTATATACTCAACGAGATACTTCTGTAAAAGTTTAGTTGAAAATTTTAGAATTAACTTTAAATCAACAAAATTGTCATTCAAGTCATCAATCGAAATTTTGGGTTCACCCCACGGTATGGTTTATCGCTGTTGTAAGTTTAATTAGAATTATAGTATTCAAAACAGGAAAACTATGATGAGCAACATACCAACGTAGTAAGCTACATTCATTGCCTTTCAACTACTGCAAAGAGAACTAAAATTGGACAAAAAATTGCAGAGTTTAATACATTTATGCCTGTAGTTAAATCAATTTTCAGTCTTCAAAAAAGTTGTTCCACATAGAATCCCTAATCTAAGTCCAAGGTTTGATCAAATAGCGCTATTTTTGAATATTTGACAAGCAAATGTTTCGTTCTATTTCTTATTCATTTTTCGATAAAATATTAAAAATTCTCCTGCAAATCCAGATCATAGCTTAATTCTCTCAAAATGTACACAGTTGTTGAGGACCTCAGCATTGGGTTGTAATGTTGACCTACACACTAAGAAATTATTATTTTTACACGAGACGTAATTCAGCTTTGACGTAAACTATGAAAAGTAAACAAACATGTCATGTAAAATTAAGTTTGCTGAAACTGAAACATATTCAACTCGAAAAAAGTAGTTTTAATTGAATTGATTTTCTCGTCCTTTTCAACTGATTCTTATGTCAAATGGGCCGCTTGCATGTGTCGGTCTCAGGGCACTGAAATTCACATGACTATTTCGTAGTGTATACCCTATTACTCATAGAATGAGTAAAATTTTCCACCAAAAGAATATTGAATATAAGAAAAAGTAAATAATTTTCAACTATAGAAGTATATAAATATACTATATATATATCGACATAGTGAAAATTTTCTCGATTTTCCCATACTCAAGCATATTGTTGAGGAAAATCGTGAAAAATCTTAGGCTTTGAACAGCCTGCGTATTTACGAATTTTAGTGAAAAACGACTTACTATTAAGGCGATCTCATCGGCCGTGCATGTGTACAATATGGACTGAAGAAGTTTTACTGAAAATTTCAAGTTATTTGAGTGTCATGGTTAACAAAAAATACAGCCCATTTTTATCGTGGACACACTTGATTCGCGCTTATTGCACACTGGAGCGCATTAAAATTGGTCCTACGGAAGCCCATTCTTCTTCGAGTTATTCCTCACAGCAAAACAATATTTCAACAGTGCAAACGCAATAAGGTGATCCAAGAGACGTTTCTCAGTGGCACTGACAGCTAGAAATCTAGAGTGCGTGAGTGATATGGTGTTAATGGTGCTGAGAAAATAAACTGCCAGTTCTACTGTGATCTGTCAAAAGTTCTTGGTAAACAAAAAAGCTTGATCATGGGCGTTGGTGAGATTTGATTTTTTTGATATTTTCCCAACACTGTAATAACGCAACAAATGGAAATCATTCAAAATTTGCATTGCAAATATGAAAAGCAAATTTTCATCGATTTGTTCACTCACATCTAATTTCAATACATGCACTGCCCGGAAGCCAAATTTTTCATCTCGTGGTAATGTATTAATGTAAGCTGTCAGTTTTAAGCTCACCACTACTGACTGCACAGTCATTAGACAGTGGACTATCCACCTCGTATAACTTGAGCAAGTGCCTGGTTGTGTTTAATTAGCCATTGTATGAAGAGCCAAAAACGGAGGATGGACCCGTAAGCAGGGCTGTCATCTGATCAGTGCTGTAAATTTTCATATCATTCGATTGAAGATGAACCAATACAACCATTCAATCAATTCTGTGTAAACGAATTCTCACATGACCATAATTTGAAGAGCCCCTTTCTCATTCGAAGCACATTGTCACTGTCAATTGAGTCACTCAGTACCATTTGATAAACGACAGTGGAGCATGGAAGAAATCCAGCAAAACGGTCCCGAACAGACAAGTTGACCCGATGTCGGATCAATGTAAGGCTAATTTAATGTCGATGTCGGCCCAGTGTCGTGTTGTTGTCGGGTTAATTTTGGGTTTATGTCGGGTCAATGTCGGGGCAACATCGGGTTGGGGTTTGATAGAAGTCAGGTTGGTGTCGGGTTGGCTTAGCTTTTTCGCCGAAATGTCGACCAGAGCTCCGTTTGTGTGTAGGTTACACTCAATTGAATGATATATAGCGTTTCTCAAATGAGAATGATCCATGCCTTCGTCAAATGACTAAGCAACTGATATCACTCATTCGGAGGAGGTCCCCTTTGATAGCGAATAGCTACTTTTCTCATTTTCATCAAAAATGTTCAAATGATTTTGAGAATTTACAGCACTGCATCTGATCACTCAATGTGCTGATGTGCCGATTTTCTGAAATAAACAAAGTGAGAATCAAGCAAACACAAAGTTTGCTTGTCTTTCACCCTGCGCAAGTGTAAAGCAGCGGAGAAGAGAAGACAGACACTTCCCCAGATATCACGAAAGCTCAATGTGTAGCCATCGCTCCGACGGCTCCGACGCAAAGAGCGGCACTCAGTGTAGAGTTGCAAATGGGAAACCCAGCAAAAAGACAAAATTCTTCTTCGTTATGCTCTTCTTCATCTCCTATGCATGCAGTCGTGGCAAGCAAAGTCTGCAAATAATTCAAAGAAGACATTAGTGCTTGTTGGATTATATTCGCTCCCTGTGCCGCACGGAGTGTACCGCTCATTGTGTGGATCGCTTTCACACAGATTAGTTGGAAAAGAGTGTGCGAAATAAATGGGAGAACCACACACTCTTTGTCGAGTGTTGTGAGATGCATGCACAAAGTTGAATTGCTAACGCTCTGAGGTGCTTTCCAGCCCTGCCTATAAGCAGAACCACTTAAAAATGTTCCAATCCGATACAGAACAAGCTATCATACGAGGAGGTATCACAATGAGTGGGGAGAACATAACGAACCATTTGAGTTGATCAACAGCTGAATAAGCTATTTTTAGCTGAAGAAACTTATTTTTGTCTAAATAAGCTCTTATTCAACATTCAATGTTGGGAAGAGCCCATGTTCAATTCACTCTCCCCATCCAAATCGCCTCAATCAGGACAGCATGGCGTCACCTTCCCAAGGACAAAACGTTATTTAAACATAATATGTATGGAGATTTGAACATTTTTTCCAAATAACAGAAAAAATATTTCGGTAAAAATAGAAGCTGTTATTCCATTAAAATTACACCATATTTTCAATGCGATTGAAGGATTGATATGATAATTTTTTTTTTTTTTCGCATCGACCTGCTATCGCCAACGACCTGTCTATGGCTACGGAAGAGAGGTCTTCTAAACCGCAAATCATGGCATCGTATTAAGATCAGTTCTCCAGTGGCAAAAACTGGCCTGAAATAGTGCTAATTTCGTACTGCTGATTTCGGGAGATGTGAGCTACCTATTCTTATGTAGAAAAAAATATCCGAAAAAATCAAATGTCACTGGTTTTGTTTTGTGCTGACTAACAAAATCAGTGCTGTCAATTTTCATACCATTTAAAGGATTAGAAGTATAACAAATTTTTGCAGCAGATGGCGCTGGTAAGAGGTATGGCCATTTATTTTGTATGCAGAAAACCGGAAAACTGGTGATTTTAACGAAATAAGGACCATTTCTGAAAAGAATATTTGATACAGGTGCTGGGTCAATTTTTAACGCAACACCTCTATCAAATATGTGTTCTGTTTTCGGTTCCAAAATCAATATTGTTGGAAAAATGTTCAAATCTCCATACGCTGAAAACGAAACTAACTCAGAGAGTGAATAACTTTTACACAGTTGGGAGTCACTTTTACTCATTGGTATGAAGACATTTCTAAAATTGTAGTGCATGGGTAACCTACGCTTTTAGAAATGCCTCCATATGAGTGAGTAAAAGTGACTCACTCCCTGAGTAAGATTCGTTTTCAGCGTACATATGTTTTTCCGGTATTCTTTTCGCCTCTAGGAAGATCAAAACTGACAGCATACAGTGATCCATTGAAGACGATCCAATACAACCATTCCTTAAATTCTGCGCAACGTATTTTCTCATACCCATCAATTGAAGAGTGCATCTAGAACACTAAGTTGAGAGCACGCAATAACCTAATATGCGATATGCAATAAGCTTGAAATGCGAAGAAGAAGAAGAAGAAGAAGAAGATCAATTGAAGAGTCACTTTCTCAAACGAACATGACCGTCTGTCAATTGAGTCACCTCATTATCAATTGATATACGGCAGTGGACTATGGAAGAAACTCAGAACAGATATGTCGACCCGATTTCGGATCAATGCCATGCCAATTTAAGGTCGATGTCGACTCAATGTCGAGTTAATTTCGGGTTCATTTTTTTAATTTGTTTTCCATTGGTCTTGTTTTCCTATCGACCCATCAACCCATGGACCGGGAACCAACGGCTTTACTTCCCGTGATCAAAGATGTTATGCCTCAGAAAATCCCAGCGGCGCCGACTGGGATTGCACCCAGGCCTTTTGTCGTGAGAGGCAATCACGCTTACCAATACACCAAAGGCACACCTTATATATGGGGTTCATTTTTGGTTATTTCGGATCAATGTCGGGTCAACATATGGTTTGTTAGAAGTCAGGTTGGATTAGCTTTATCAACCGGAATGTCGAGCAGGGCTCCGTATATGTGTAGCTTATACTCAATTGAATGATAGCAAACGTTTTTTTAAATGAGAATGATCCATGCCATCGTCAAATGACTAACCTTAATGAGGTCCCTTTGATAGCGGATAGCTGCTTTTCTCGTTTTCATCAAATATGTTCAA